GAATTATTAGACAGCATGGGATTAATTTCCACTTTTATGCTGATGATACCAAGCTATACCTGTCTATAAATCCAGATGATGGATTGGATGATGGAATGGGAGGCAGATCTTTTGGTTATCAGGTTCCTCTCCTGTGGAACCAACGACCAGTTTTAGTCTGGGTGGCAGACACCCTGTCTACTTTTAAGGGTAGGCTTAAAACTTTCCTTTTTTTATAAATCTTAGAGTGGCTCTGGTTATGCCGAGATATATCCATAGCTATGCTGCTATAGACTTACTGTTGGAGGACATAGGGACCCCTTTTTCTCTAATTCTCTGTATGTGCTCTCTTTCATCTTCTGACATGGGATATGGCTCGGAACTCGTCTGCTTGGCTGTGTGTTTCCTGGACGGGGCCGCCTGTGGAGCTGGTTGACAGCTGCTTTTTGTATCTCTGCTTCTGTCTCCTTGAACCCCAGTCAGCCTCGGCAGATGGCCGCTCACTCTGAGTCTGGTTTTGCTGGATGTTTCTTCCTGTGAAAAGGGAAGTAGAGTCAATGAGTTGATGCAATCAACTGTTTTTTCTTAGAAAACTTTGAATCAATTTGACTGTATGATCTGGTTGAATTGTAAAGTTCCTTGAGACGACATGTGTTGTAAATTGGCGCTATATAAATACACTGAATTGAAAACACCTCACACCACTGGAACAAGAGATTTTGATCCAGAAATAAAAAAAGTAGAATTTGTTTTAAAGCCAGAGAAACAGCACTACAGTTGCAAAGGAAAGGAAGATGGTGAAGTAGAAGATTACTTCTAAAGTTAATGCGTCCTTTTTATAAATTGGGCTGAACTGGCAGACAGTTTTTACATTTATTAAAAGATCTCTCCTCTCTGTTGTTCCAATTATAGATTACTAAAATAATATTATTCCTGATGAAAATCACATTCCTAGACTGAAGTGTAATAATATATTTTCTAAAAACTAAATTATACCAGTCAGAATCCAGATTTACATAACTAGAAATGTTGACACGTTTTAAGTGTCTGTTTTGACGTTCATCAGGTTGACTGAAAATGTATTTATGATATCTGAAATAGATTTCTTCATAGTCAAAATAATACAAATGATGACCAGTAACAATGGGAATATGGAGATCCGAAATTAATTTCTAGACATCCAGAATGTTTATTCTAGATGTGAAAAATGTCACTTTGTTTGAAATGGTCATTTTGACAAGGAAAAATGTGTTTTAGATATAAGGATACATATTCAGTAAAACTAATACTTGCCATAGCCTGGTGACCATGATAACGTTACAGCATCAGATTCAGAATTACTTTATCCTGACTGTGTTCACTGCCTCTGATGTGCGGATGCAGGTAGAGAGAGGAGCACCTTAAGAGGGGCTTTGGAGGGAAACTCTCACAGAACTCAGTTTCAAAGAAAACTCCATCATGGGGCTCAGAGATCAATGGATGACACAGACTGAGCTCAGGAATCTCTGGGGAGGGGTCACCAAGTGTCTCCAACATTCACATCTTTGTTTACAAAACCAAAATAATTTGGGATTTCAATGTACATATGTTAAAATATGTTTTACTAAAGGGAATAACCTTTTTTGTCCAACTGTGTGGAAATTCCTACTTTAGGGGCGATGGAGGACATAATCAGATTGCTGATATTTAAAAATTCTTTTTTTTTTATCCTCTGCGTCGTTTACCATGGTTTGATGCAGGAAAAGTTCCAAATGAATCAGTAAACAGATGAGGTACATAAACTAACAGGTACTTAAACCAAATTCCTTAATTTGTAGAGAATAGGCTCTGCTTTGCTTCTCTGTCAGGACGACACGTCGCCTCTTTATTATATTACATGTCAACCAACCAACAGAGGCTAATTTATTTCCTTGAACCGATCATCTATTTCATTTTGTCATGACTGACATCTGATGAACACTGTGCAACTATCAAAATTTGGACAGATTTTTTAATTGAGAGGTTCTGTTTTAGTTTAGCATCTTCTTCACAATTTATATCATTAGTAAGAGGAAAGAAAAGCCTCTCCAGCAGTAGATCATCCATTTAACCATTACCATCTACCATAGACAATATAATAAACTGCATATAAAAGTTATTTTATGCTGAGCAAGTTGGTGTATGCACTGCTAATTTTATCCTCTAGATGTCAGACTTTTATTTAGAATTAAATTTTAGAAACTGATGTTTTCTTCAAGAAAAACTAAAAATTTTAAGCACATCAGTTTGGCACTGTTTGCAAAAAGCTGTACTAAAACATATGATTGATTTATAAAATAATTTAATATATTAAATGATTTTTGTGTGTTCTGCCTAGTTCAAAATGTTTAATAACCCAGGAAGGATAATTATAGAAGCCGATCAATAACTTTCAACTCTCAGCCCGATCTGTATTATCATCAATATAAATGACAAAACAGTGAATGGCATTCCTAATGCAGCTTTAATGCACTGTGGTCCTAACTTTATTGATCGGCACAGGAAAATCAATTTCCTGCAAGATGAGAGATAAAACTCAAAGAGAAACAAGTAAGGACTCACTTAATGGCCTATAACAAACACTGAAATTGAATGTAAAATGAATAAAATGAACATTTTTCTTTCATGAATGGTTTTTTGTGAGATATTACAAAAATAAGAGCATTCACTTGAGCATACAAATTTCCCAGATGAGTCTATTTTAGAGGGGTCCGTTTGCCCTTAAAAAAGCTAATCCTGCCTAGTTCAATACATACCTTAAGAATCACGTAACTGTTGACAGCTAAACTGCTTTAGTAAAATTAAATGAAGTATTCGTTTGAATTAGTCATACAAAAAAAAAAGTTGCATACCCAAATGTAAAAGCATATGACTAAGGAACTGTAAGCCCAAATTACAAGTTTGATACATCATTAGAAAGTTAACACCTTATAGTTTCTGAAAATATAAACCGTGTGACTAAAACACAGCCTAAACAGCATCCGTTCAAACATGACTTAAAGTTGTTTTTTTCTTTTCGAAAACAATAGATCTTTTTTGAGCAGCAGTAACAAAGATATGCTTGATAATAGGCATGGGCCACTGTTTTACATTTATCCTGCATTATGTCAACAACAACAGCAGAAAATGTCAGACCTCTGTGTATAACATTTCTGGAGATATGGGACTTTTAACTTCTTTTAACATCAGCGTCTCCAAACCTCTCCAAAATATGCCAAATTATTCCAAATTGTGCTTATTGCTTTTACACAACAAAATTACACTGGAGCATTTCAATGTCCACAAAACATTTTTGAAGCAAACATTTTTTCATTTTTCTATTTTTCCATCTTACCAAATTTGGTAAGAGTTTGATTTAACTCCATTAGTTATGAAACAATCCCATTATGTGATATGTCAGGGCTTTTACTGCTCCTATGATTGGATAAATCACCAAGTGACATGTGCCTCTATGTCCAGCTTTTAGCCAATCAGCTCCAACTGTACTGAATGTCCCTCCTTTTCCCCAAAACCTTACCAGATTTTAAATTTTATTGACATTTTTCTGACATGGGAGCTGGCTCAGAGCTTATCTGACAGGCTGTGTGTTTCCTGGACGGGGCCGCCTGTGGAGCTGGTTGACAGTTGCCTTTTGTATCTCTGCTTCTTTCTGTATCTCTGCCTTTGTCTCCTTGAACCCCAGTCGGCCTCGGCAGATGGCCGCTCACACTGAGCCTGGTTCTGCTGGAGGTTCCTTCCTGTTAAAAGGAAGTTTTTCCTCTGCACTGTCGCTACAAGCATACTTTGTGTGAGGGATTGCCTTTGAGTCAATGAATTGATGCAATCAACTGGTTTTACTTAGATAGAAAACTTTGAAACATTTTGACCGTATTATCTGGTTTAACTGTTCCTGTAAAATACCTTGAGATGACATTTTTTGTAAATTGGCTCCTTATAAATAAACTGAATTGAATTAAAAGGACAATAGCTAGGCTAACTACCACATATTTCCTTTAACCTTTTGGTAACAGAATGTTAGCTTAGCGGTAAATTATGTGTTCTATGTAATAAAAAGTTCCAAAATAAGATTCATGTTAAAAATAATAAAAAGCCATACTTTGCTAGTAGAGGCCAGTTACAAGCCAAATCAAAACTACTATGGTCAAATGATATTATTATCCAACCTAATTTCTAGGTTTAAAAGTTTAGAATAACCAAGAAATTAGTACAGTATAAACTATAATATTTCAGATTTAGAAGCTAAAGTAAAAGTACTAATAATATGAATACTATACTAAAAGTACAAAAAAAAAAAAATAATCTACCGTATACGACCAATCAAAATCAAAATTTTGTTT